GGTAACAGCGTTCAGTGCACCTTGGTGTTTAGTCATGCCGGCCACATGACCACGGAAACATCTTTGGACAGCGCTGGCTCTTTGGCTTTGAAATGGAGATGAGCACCGCAACCCTAGAGTTGGACTCGACTGGCTTTCGAGCAAGGGAACTTTTACCTTTTTAGGAAAGGGCAGGATTTGGGGAGGGACCTCAGCAGGGTATAATGCCATAGAGTCTACCACCCAAAGCAGCCATTTTCTCCAGCGGAACAGATCTCTGTCATCTGGAGATCAGTTGTACTTCCAGGGGAACTCCAGGCCCCGCCTGGAGGTTGACAGCCCTAACTGCAACCCACTGTGCGCCAGCCTTTTCGTCCCACAAACACGCCCGTACATGAAGAGACCCACATGGCACGTTCAGAGGCAGGAAAAGGCCAAGAACACCCGGGAGCGGGAGGCCAGTGTGGCGCTGGGCGGGGTCCAGCCCGGCTCCTTACTGCTTCATCTCCGGCCCTCGCCTAGCCCAAAGCTTGGCCAGGTGCCTCCTTAAGGGGTCGGAGGAGTACGCAGGCCACCCAAAGGGCCGGTTGCCCCAGAGGCCCCTCCTTGCCCCACCCCCCTTCCGAGAAGGCTAGTCGGTCTCTCCATCTGCGTGCGGGGAGGCCCCTTGGGGCGGTGGATCCGAGGGCCAGAGCACCACCCCCTGTATAGAAAGCCATACGCGGATGCAGACTTCCCGAAGGAGCGGCACTGGAGAAACCGCGGCCAGTCAGTCACCAAGCCAAGGCGACAGCGCACCTGCTGCTCCCTATTCCCGGGCGGGGCGAGGAGGCGTGGCCTGGGGAGCCCCTCCCCCTTCTCGGAGTGACAGAAGCCGACAGAGGCTGTCGGAGCTCGCTCGGGGCGCCGCATGCGGCCAGCGCATGCGTAGGGGGTGAACCGGCCTCGTCGGGGCCCGCCCGGCTGCCGCTGCTGCTGGACAGCCGGGGAGAGCGGAGGAGCTGCGCATCCGAGAGCCGCCCCG